TCCCATAGCGCGATATGAAGCGGTATATAAATGAAGCTGCTTTGCTTGGCTTAGCTTTTATTTCTGGCAGTTTGTAAAGGCCCTTGAAGAAGCAAAGAGGACAGGACCACGTATAAAAGCTGAGAAGACTCATAGGAATGGAAAATTCATCCTCCATGGTCGTGCTCAAAATGGAGGATGTTTTGGAAGTCCACCTGGACGGAAGGGTGAAATGGAGGACACCTCCTGGGAAAGGAGAGGGTGGCCAGATGTCCCAGCATTCAAAATGGAGAAACTTCAAGAAACAAAGTGGACAGAACCATGTATGAAAGCTCAAAAGATTCATAGGAATGGAAATTCGTGCTTCTGGGTTGTGCTCAAAATGGAGGACATTTTGAATGTCTTCCTGGAGAGAAGGTTGAAATGGAGGACTTGTCTTGGAAAGGGCCGGGTGACCAGATGTTCTAACCATCAATGAGGAGAAGACACCACAAAATGGGGCATCTTCAAGAAACAGGGAGGGCAGGACCACGTATAAAAGCTCAAAAGACTCATAGGTATAAAAATTCATGCTTCTGAATCATGCTCAAAATGGAAGATATTTTGGAATTCCACCTGCACAGAAGATTCAAATGGGAAAAGAGAGGGTGTCCAGATGGTTTTCACCACCAAGGAGAAGGCGCCACAAAGTGGAGGCGCTTCGAGAAACAGGGAGGACAGGACCATATATAAAAGCTAAAAACACTCATAGGAATGTAAATCTGTGCTTCTTTGTGGTGCTCAAAATGGAGGAAATTGCGGAATTCCACCTGGGCAGAAGGTTGAAATGGAGGGCCCATCCTGGAAAAGGAAAGGGTAGGTAGCCAGATGTTCCAACCTTCAAAACGGGACCTTCAAGAAACAGGAAGTCAGGACCATGTCTAAAAGCTCAAAACACTCATAGGAAATTCACGCTCCTTGGTTGTGGTCATAATGGAGAACGCCTTGGATGTCATCCTTGGGCAATAGAGTGAAATGTAGGATGTGTCCTGGAACAGGGTGACCAGATGTCTCAACCTTCAAAATGGAGGACCTTCAAGAAACAGGAGGACAGGACTATGTATAAAAGCTCAAAACACCCATAGGAATGTAAATTCATGCTTCTGAGCCATGCTGATAATGGAAGACATTTTGGAATTCCACCTGGACAGAAGGCTGAAATGAAGGAGGTGTCCTGGGGAAGGACAGGGTGATCAGATGTCCTCACTGCAAAGTAGGACTGGGCATCACAAAATAAAGGAACCCTAAGAAACAGGGAAGACATAACCAAAGAAAAGCTAACAATACTCATATAAATGTCATCAATTCATGCTTTTGAGTTGTGCCCAAAATGGAGGACATTTTGGAATTCCTCTGGACAGAAAATTGAAATGGAGGATGTGCCTTGGAGAAGGAGAGGAAGAAGTCCTCACTGCACAGGCACAACAAAATGGAGGACATTCAAGAAACATGGGCATTCAAGAAACATGACTGCATAAAAGCTAAAAATATGAATATCAATATAAATTTACGCTTCTGAGTCATGCCCAAAATGGAGGACATCTGTGTAAGGAACGATGGCTGGCTGGCTGGCTGGCTGGCTGGGAAGAGGAAGGGGCTCTGGCTTTCTAGGCAGCCTCTTGCAGCATTGCAAAGTGGGGCACCACAGTTCCTCTTCTCTCACCGTCCATGGATCTATTGTTGTTGTGGGCCTTCAAGTCATTTCTGACTTATGGCAACCCTAGGAAGAAAATCCATTCATTTGAGAAGTGGTGCTGGAGAAGATTGCTGAGGATACCATGAACAGCCAACAAGACCTACAAATGGATCATTGAACAGATCAAGCCTGAAATCTCCCTGGAAGCCAAGATGAGTGGGCTGAAGCTGCTTTGTTCATAACATGAGAAGGCACAAAAAGACAATAATGATAGGAAAAGTGGAGGACTTCATGCGTAAAAAGAGAGGACATCACACTAGATTAATAGACTCAATCAGGGAGGTCAGGGGTCTGAATCTGTATAAGACCTAAGCAGAGCAGTGGAAGACAAGGGGTCTTGGAGATGTCTCATCCATAGATTCACTGAGTCAGGATCAACTTGAAGGTGATTAACAACAACAAAAGGTGGACCTATCATGAGGTTTCCTTAGAATCATAGAATCATAGAATCATAGAGTTGAAAGAGACCAC